CCTTCTTCTGAGGAACAGCCTAGAGACTTCAATTTCTTTAGGAGTTAAGCTTGAGTAAATAGAGGAGAACGATATTGCACCAGTTGAGAAGTCCTATCCATCATTTTAAACAGTAAATGTTTTGGCTAAAAAAACTCTTTTTAATTGTTTCTACCCAAGCATAGCTTGTGTGTGCTCCTTTACAGTAACTGAAAACAGTGCAAGGAAACAGACATTCATTAAAAAAATAAAGATATCACAGTCTGGTTTAGTCTAGATTTTTATAAATAAAAATTATTATTAAGAAATCAGGAAAAAAAGCAACTGCATCCTGGGAATAATCAAATGCTTTTCATTTAATGATATTACTAGAAATATTAGAAGACTAGAAATATTACTAGAAAATTGCATCTACTTTTACAAAGCCTGTGAAGATGTACACACTGTATTATACAACTGCAGTTTTCATAGCCCCTCGAAAGCCCTCTCTATTTGCAAGCATTTTTAAACTTGCCATTTCTAAACAGACTTCTGGCACAAGGCATCTCTCTCAAAATCAAGACTGACACAAGCAAGGAGGGATTTGAGTATTACACTAACACACTCATTCCCAAAACTAATTTAACACAGAGATTTGCTGTGCTTAAATTAAATATTTAAGCAGCACCAGTCATCCTTTCTCATAAAAGACGGACAAATCACGATAAAAGAGTTAGCCCTTCATCACTTACATCAATTTCTTACCTAAAAATAACAACCCATCATCTTCAAAAACTAATTCTATAATCTCTCTGAAATTCAGGGAAAATAATTCAATCCTCATACAAGAATGCAACTGTTCAGATGCAAAAAAAAGCTGCTTCCTTTTTAAGGGAAGAGGGGATGCTGTAGGAGGTAAACATTAAAAGCATTTTCATACTGTGAGAAATTGGACTACAATACACTGTGAATTTAAAGAAAAGAAACACTGAGGACACTGTTCCCTGAAAGCTGGCTCATTTCACTGTTGTCTGATGTTACTGGCATGGGCAAATGCCTATTGCTATCAAAACCAGGAAAACAGTTTATCAGGGTAAAGTGACATTTCACTTTGTCTTCCTTGTGGCTGCTACAAAAAAAGATTTGTCTGTAGTAAGGCACATGCAGAAGGTCACCCTGCTCCATAAAAAAAAATTCAGCATGCAGCCACTTTGCCAAACAAACTGAAGGGCAAGTAGTTTCAGCCTTCTTTAAAGCAACATGATTTGCAAGGAACTGTTTTTGGTAAAACAGAAGCAGATAGGAAGTATATCTTAAGAAAATATTTATATCATAGTTTTCTAAGTAAACATGTGGGACATGACAATAAGAATGAAACTACCAGACATGCAAAATAGCCCAGCAAACACAGTGATCAGCCCAGTGAGCAATCTAAACCCAAATTTAAATCATAGAAACAGGAGGCGCATTTTCAACAGCGGGGAACAGAAGAAGCCAAATTCTTCTGTGAAATAATTCATGTGTAGGGTGATTATGGGACTTGCTGTACTACTGAAAACTGACTCAGAAGAGAAGAACACACTTTGGCCACTTAGAGTTGATGAAACAGTGATGCATGCAATACCGATGAAGAAACGCTGTGCAACCATCAGAAATGCTATGCTATCACCACAGCTAACTTTATTCTTAGATACTTATGCCTCATTTTAAAAGCTGCACTTAAGATTTCAGTTCTTAGGGTAAAGGCCGATTCTTACTGTCTACAGCACCCAAATAGAAAATTGAAAATCCTCTACATTCTCTTTTTTTTTTTCTTTCTACATTCTCTCTCACCTAACAGCTTGAGATTTTATAGGAATTCTCTATTTTACAATTAAGTGAGACCAGAACTCTCACTAGTTACACCTTTTTGTTCATTTTAGAGTCTCTCTGAATGGTCACTCTTCTGGCATACCTATTGCTCTTCCCCGTTTGGGGTCACCTGCACACTTGGAGGTGCATTCAATTCCGCAGTCTACGCTCTTTATCCAGATAGTGAATAGTATCAAATTCATTTCCAACTCCTCAGGAACTCCACTCACCAGCCAAGCTGACTGAGCTGACCCACCACTGTTTAAGCTGGGCAATTTAGCCAGCCTTCTTCCTATCTTGTGGTCCATCTATCTAGCCCACATCTTCTTAGCTTGTCAAAAAGATGTTGCAGAAGACTCCATCAAGCACCTCACTACAATCAAGGCAGATGACCTCACCCCCTGGGCAAGTTGTTCCATCATCTAATGCAATCAGATTGGTCAAGCATGACTTGCTCTACCTGAATTCACACTGGCTTCTCTTATGTACTTCCTTGTCCTCCATTTGCCTGGAAACAGCTTCCTTGAGGATCTGGTCCATAATTTTCCGAGGGAATGAAGTAAGGCTGACTGCTCCATAGTTTCTGCAGTCTTCCTTTTTGCCCTTTTCTTTGGTAGATGGGCATGATGCTTGCCTTTCTGCACTCTTAGCTTTATTCGTGAAGATTGACACTGAGAGGATACTGAGGCACCAAGAACACGCCTCAGATTTTCTGCAACTAATTTACCAGTCCCACTGGGTAGCAAATCTGTATCTTAGTGTATACTTAGTGTATACTTACACTAGCTACTATCCTAACAGACCGTGCCTACTTACACTAGCTACTATCCTAACAGAAGCCTTTTTCACAATCCTTGGCATCTCTTGGCAGTTTGAACTCCAGCCTTGCTTTTCCTTTTCTAGCAATATAGAGACACCTATAGCATGTCTGAGAAATGTTTCTCTGTTTCTTTGGGGAAGTAGACTGCTCTCTTCCCCTCTCAAAAAGAGGTATATTACTCCTTTTTGGCTCTTGAGCTCTCTCAGGAGCACAGCATTTAACCAGTCTTTTTCCTTTTATGTCTGCCTCTCCTCCCACTTCCAAGAGATGGGCTGCTCTTGTGCTTCACGAAAGCTGCTTCTGAAAACCTCCCAGCACTCCTGAGCTCCTCAGCTCTCTAGTGAAGAATCCAGTAGGATCCCCTTTGTCAATTTCCTGACCAAGTTGAGCAATATGTACTAATGCATCCTAAATTTACTCATCAGATGACATCTGGTGGAAAGCAGATACTACGAGAAAATTATTTTACTTAATAAAATCCAGAGTGTAAAGCAAATATTCACCTATGTTTAAGTGACAAGCTCTGTAGTATCCTACAAATCACTGTGCAATTAAATGAGGAAGAAACAGGACTCTTCTTTAAAAAAGCATGCCAAAGGCTACAAGGTCTAAGGGAGCCAGACAAGGTAGTGCATACATATACATACACAAAAAAGTAACTTAATCAATATGGATTTCTGTCCCTTCCTCATGAGTTAGTCAACTTCAGTCTAAGCGCTTCAGATAAATAAATGGCAGTACAAAATAATAAAACCAAGTAATTTTGTTAAACAACAGACCCTAGCCTGGCAGTCACATACTAGTTTGACATAATGAAATATTAATCATTTAAATCATGTTAACATTACTTTTTTTAAATTGAAATTAAATTAAAAAGCAAACATGATGAGGTAAAAAAAAAAGATTATGGTTTTTTTCAATGCTTCTTTTATTAAAATAAAGAAAAAAAATCTTTTGTCTTTAATGATAAAGCT